TATCTTTAGCAAACTTCACCTATGAAAAAAATATCATGCAACCTCTCCTTACGGTAACTAAATATCAAGCAAACACAAAAGAATTCTTGCAAGAGTCGTTACAAAATATAAATATCGTGCAACATAAATTCCTGCCACCCAACCTCCTCCCCCCTTAATTATCTAATGTTCCATCCCTTAGGCAACATGGAAAAAAAGTTGTCTGTCCTTGAGCTAGACCACAATATACCCAATATACCGCCTCTGATGTTTGCTATCTTATGCGGAACTGAAGTTCTATACAAGTCATTTATTACTAAGCCTTTAGATTTTTTTAATAACTTTGAGTAGAGCAAGCGTAGATTACTTAACCTCAAAGAACATCCTACGATGTTTACACCGGCACAACGTTCCCGAAGCACTAGTGATTAATTTAATAGGTATATAAATTATAAATATTTTGAAAGTTTGGTAGTTTGATAGTGTCTATCACTATTCCAGATCAACAGGACATATCAGACTGGCTCATTTGTAACGCGTAAAATTAAAACTAATTAATTTCTTTGATTTCTATCCAAGTATTTTTTAAGGCAACAGTTAAGATTTAAAATAAATGGTGGTGGACAGGTGATGCATCTAATAAGACACTGATGTCCTCGTGAGATATAACTCACCCGAAATATTTTTTTGGCTATTAGGGTCAGAAACAATCATATCTCTAATGACATTATAAAATTTATTAGAAGATAACAAGGCTTAGTACATTTCATATCTTTTTGCTAGCATCACGAAGGAAGTACCAGTCTTGATTCCTCATTCTATCAAATCCTTTTTCTTTTCAGCTTTGGCAGACGTCATATCACTTCCTTTCGTCTTGTTAGGTAAGGCAAAAACATTCAAAAATTATTTTAAAGTTCTAAAAAAAAATTTGAAAAAACCCCTGAAGACCAGAGTTAATAACTCTGCTGAAGACCGAACAGAATATGGTATTTGCAAAACCACAGCGAATGTTGACAACTTCAGCGCATTTGCTTTATCGTAATCACCTAATGATCGAGTCTTAACACTAACAATAGAATATAATCTACGGCAAAATCGAAGGCCACAGTCGGCATTTTTCAACTTTTGAAGCTGGTGTTTCATTAGCGTGTAGTAGCATTTATATGACCACGTGACTTCCATTGCGCATGCCTAATCGGTCATTGATATTATGTTGATTTCACTGACTGATGACTTGGCCGCTCGAGTTGTTCTGGCAGATATTGGTTTTTGATTTGTTTTAATTTCCGCATTCAAAACTAAAATCTCCTTTCAAAAAAACGTATGTGTCCATGACATTTTAAAGCTTTATTAAAAAATATTATTTGTTCGCTGACTGAAACATCCTTAGGCTTACTCCTGCTAAAATCTAATTTCATTCTTCTTACTTTCCATTTTACTTTCTAATTTCGGAGTTTTTGATGTTAGATGTTTAATATTTTATTGTTTTTTTCTTTAAATTCGCGTGTCTTCGTTAAAGTACTAAAGTATATTGCTAGATGATTCATAATTGAAAGAAAGAATTCCAAGACCACTAATCCTAACTACAATAATTTATTTAACTGTAGTAAACCTTCCTATATAAATATAATGTGTGCTATTAACCAAGGTTTAAAGTAATTTGAAGAGAAAAAAAACTACCAATTAGAAAATCTACTACATCTTTTTTCGGTAGATTACAATTTATCTACGAGAAGATAGCGAAGAAAACACCAAGATCCGATTTCCTTTTCGTTAGAGTTTAATGTGGCTATACAGAAGCCACCTTCACCAAGATTACCTTCATTACTAATTCAGATTTAGGTTCGGCTTCTTAGTGGTTCATTACCGATATTAAATTGTCTAAGATAGTTAAGCCGAAATGATACGATTTCACCTTACAAGGATTTTATTGGTGGGTAGGTGAATTACGAGATCAAAAGACAATATATCCTTGATTATTAACGCCCAGTAGATAGGGTTACACCGGTTCTATCGTGAATATACATGAATTTGGGCTAGTTGCTTGTCCATTTGTCAACCGCGGTCAGTCGTTAGGCCGCTATATGGATATATAGCGGTGCTGTTTGCTGGTATTACGAGAGATATGGACTAAACATTACTGTATTGAATGTAGTCTGACGGTAGATACTTTCAAATGTTCAACAACAACAAGATATTGGCTTTGGCGCTGTTATACGAAAAAGGTATCAGGTGATTTTTCTCAGCGAACTAAAGCTACTGGCGGACAGGTTAGTTCAAGATGAAATATTCTGAAAATGAAACACTATAATTACCGACAGTGAGACAATTTTCAGGGTCTTCTGGAATGAATTCTTATGAACAAAATTTGACTATAAGACCAAAAAGATTGCAGATGAATAAGAAAACGTTTTTCTATAAAATGATCAATGTGTTATTTAACCCCAAAACCGAGGAAAATAAGTTAAAGTAAAGTTAACTTACCAATGTAGATTTAACTAATTCAGGGACTGAATAGAATTTTAAAAAAGGCGAAATTATTTTTTTAATTAAAAAAATTAAATATGCTTTTACATCACTAAAAACACCTTGGACAGTGATCTTAAAAAAAAACCAATAGCAAAATTTTTGTTCATAACCCACTTGAGAGAACTGAGTATCTAACCACACTGGGAGAGACTATGACAAAAGAGCCCTCTAGCAGAAAAAAAAAAAAACACGTTAGATTGAAAATAACGCATGAAAAATGAGAATCTCTATACAAAGTGAAATACTTAAATGAAGTGAAGAAAATAATTTCGTGGGAATTGGGTTCGCTTATTGAGGCCAATACAAGCAACAGCTAAACTGAAATATCGAAAAAGAACTTGAGAATTTTAAGCCTTTCTTGGTCGCTTGCAGTACAGGAAAAGTGATTTTAAAATGACAACTTGTAAAGATGAAATTTATCTAAGACTCAATTTTGGTTTGGAAATATCTATAAGTCGACTGTCTTGAATTTTCTGAAAAATTCTATGCGAACTAAGTATTTATAGTTTTTAAAAATACCTATATTTCACACCAAGCCGGTAATAATAATAATAATAATAATAATAATAATAATA